TTGTCGCTCGGGAAGAAACGACTTCTCCTTTATTCACGAGCTTCCAATCGTGAGTTTCTCTCTCTCTCTCTCTCTCTCTCTCTTTCTCATACAGTCGGAAAAGATTAATCCTTTTCAACTGCATGATGCTTTTGCGAAGTTTTCCTCGGAATTCCCATACACTCTATAACCAATAACAGCTCCCTCCACTGTCCCTTCCAGGATCTGCCTCAATAACATTAACACCGAGTGAGAAAGAGAGAGACAGAGAAAGAGAGAGAAATTGGCATACTTTTAATCGCGAGACCCAGCTTCCATGCTTTATCGCGTTTCGCGGCCCCCCTTTTTTTTTGCTTTGCCTCTGCTCTGCTACTTTCAATCATTGAAAAAGTTCGTCTGTCTCGAAAACTCATTTCCCCCCACTCGCCCTCCCTCCTCCTTTTTTTTTCAATTTACCCTCGGGCCAATCGTCTCTGACAGAGGAGAACGAGAGAGGCACGACGACGGCGCGGGACGCGGGAAGCGAGGAGAGGGTGACGATCGAAAAGTCTCGAAAGTTTCGAGCTAATTTGATTTATCGTCGCAGCTACTTGAGATTCGCGACCCGGCTCGTTCCACCCTCTGACTTGGCGTCCTCGTTGCCGAAGAAAATTAGGAGGGGTCAGGAATGGGGGCTGGGGTTAGCTAGAAACGAGCGGCCACGATCGGCGGCCCACCCTACTGACGGAATTTATTATTGATTCCACCGTCTCACCATCGGCCTCACCGACTGAATGCGATTGATAAAGGACACCCTTGACTCTCTCTCTCTCTCTCTCTCTCTCTCACTCCTTTTTCTTCGATTTCATCCTCCATCGTGACTTTCACCTCGATGAGAATCGAACCGGGAGTCCTCCTTTGACCCCGACGGTTCTGCTCCAATCTTTGCGACTGGTCTCTGTCCCTCGTCGTTATGTCTCGTTGTTCTCGGTTATTACACCTGACGAAATAACAACAGGATCCTTTGACGTGCTTTGCACGTCCAATTTTCCTTCACGTTACTGCGCTCACTATGTTTCGCCTTTGCCTGTCTGAACTGATTCGTATGAAATAACGTACCCATTGTCCGAACAACAGCGTTTTGCTTCGTTCTAACACTCATTTCGGTGGTTTACGTTAGCTTGGACTTGGAAAGAAACTTTCTGAATACGAGAGTGAACGCATGACGCGAATTAGTCGCTAACCATACATCGTCTAAACTTGCATTGCAGCAATTGAATGTGAATTCTTTCGTATCAAGCTGTAATCACGTAATATTTTTTAATAACCTTCATTCTCTGTTCAACAGGCCATTTTTCATTTCAATCGATTTCAACAGAAACGACTGTCGAGGAAAACATTCTTCTGGACTTGAAAGAATTTTCTAGATATTAATTTCAATTTTCTAAATATGAAAGCTAACACGAAGCTCGAATCAGTCGCCAAACAGTCGCAACAGGCCTAAACTTGCGTTAGAGCAATCAAACGTTCAATCGTTTCGTATCAAACTGTTCAATTCTCCTGCGAAACTGTTCAATTCGCCTAGAATTATTCAATAATCTTCACTCTGTATTCTTCGATCTCCACGAAGGATTCGCGTGGAAAAATAAAAAACGCGTCGACATTCGTTGATAGCTGGCCAATCGATTACCAATTACGCGTCTCGCGCGAAGAATTAAGGAGCAACGGGGAGATGGATGCAGACGAAGTATCGACGGATGGACTCGCCTAATCCTAAGTAAACGCCGCCACCTTTCCTCGCAACTACCTGTCTGATCAAACATTTGTCTTTACTACTCGGCTGATTAAACGCCCGCCAGAGTTTATACCGCGTTCAAGCCTTCGGTCGAGAGGACACGAGGCGACCGGGCTTGGATCGGGGATAAACAGCCGAGTAAGAAATCCGACGGGCGGATTCTGGCAGGGGGTGCGGGGGGGGGGCGCAACTGCGACTTGTGAGATACGTGGAGAAGATAAAAAGGGGCGAGATGATTGGCAAAGGTGAAAGGCGAGCGACTGGATGAACAGAGGATGGAGAAGGAGAGAGTTGGTCAATATAAGATCAGAGAGAGGCTCAAAGAGAGAAAAGAGAGAGACAGACGGATGGAACGGAGAGATCGAAGATGATTTGAAATGCCGGAAATTGAAATGAGTGCAGGCGAACGAAACGGAAAGGCCCGAGGGGTCAGCTTTGCAATCCGTGAATTTTTTTCAATGTACCTGTGACCATACATCGTTACAAATTACCTCGTTTTACAAATAAAAGAATAAAAGCGTGATATAATTTTCTCTGGGGAAGACTCGGTCGAGGATAGGAGGAGCCAGAAATTGCTCGATCGAGCAGAGAGCTGCGTACAAATAGGAAGGCTCCGCGAAGAAGATCGCGTCGTGCTCGAAGAAAGTTATAAACGAAGCGCGTGTTCGAAGTGAAAAAGCACGAGACGGAGCTGCAGGAGGAAAGTCTCGCTGGCCGTATCAAAGAGAGGAATAACACGACGTGCAAAGGATACAGGAACAGAGGGAAAATTAGACGGGGAAACGAAACCGATGAGTACAAGAAGATGAACACTGACAATTGAAAACGAGCACCGACAAAAGAAAAGGAGGAGCACGTTCGCGGTATGAAGTATCTTCTCCCCTTTCCTTCCTGGTTAGTCGCTTTTAATCCGAAGCGAGCTTCGAAACGAGGTTGAAAGACGAAGAACTCGATTCTTATCCTCGAGAAAGCTGGAAAAGGCTCGATTTAATCGATCGCGTTTCATCTGGCTGGCTATCGATAACTTTCGAATTTACTTCCCCGATCTACGCTTTCTCTTTCTCGTCGAGAAATGTCTGTGAAACGATCTACCTTGGGCGAGTTAGGCACGCCGGGTTGTCTATGCTGTTCGCGCGCTCCTCAATTTATCACTGTCCTCTCCTCGTCGCTCACGAGAGGACGTTGCGGATTTTCACGGCAATTTCACGTCGCGTCCTCGACTTCTTTCGCGATCAGTTCAGGTTTTCCAGCCGTTTGCCGGAAACCGTCCGTTCAATTCGTCGCTGTTTCTCGATGCGCCGTTATCGAGCGTCGCACAAAAGGGGCCGCCGTGATTAATTTCACTGGGCCCGAGTACACGTGCTCGCCCGGGGAAAATTAAGGATTGTTTTCAGGACTTAAGGCTTTTATTCCCGCGGCTGAATGACATCGTGCCTTTAATCTGTTGCGTTTAATCAGCGATTGTCGAGGATCACCGTTTGTTGAACGAGAAGAGAAGGCGCGTATTGTGCTTGAAACGATAGAAAGTTTAGCGACGGAAGACACAGGAGGACAAACGAAAATGGAGTCGGCGTTCAATCTGTCTGATTGATCATACCAGACCGTGTTCTTCAAACTTTCTATTATTAGAACTACCTCGATTCAACACTCTTGAACCTCGTGTATATAAAATCTTCTTCCATCTTCCGTACTGGAGAAGCAAAATATAAATAAACGAACGAGATTGGTTTTTGCTCGAAGCGAGACACACACACTAATTTCACGGTGACGGATTTCGCGGATAAGGAACCGCTTAGGATATCGTAAAATACATACATAGATATGCAGGTAAAATTTTTCCGAATGTAAACGCGAGCGAGTCTGCCCGGAAGTAATCTCGATCGCGTGCATAAAGACGCGGGTAAATACGTACTGACAAAACCTCGATATTTAAGCCCCGCTCGACTTCGATTCGGCAAATATTTGTTTTCCGCTACTAGTCCCGTTGCTGGATTCTCTCGCAGTCCGAGCACGCTTTCCCTCTCGATAAATAACGTCGGCGAGGAAACGCGAGTTTCTTAGGCATGCATCTCTCAACCGTTCGCTCCTCTCGTCGATCAATAGTTTTTGCTTCCGCGACATTTAGCCGTCTACGATTGTTCCGCGAGAGGAGAAATTCGAATTCGAAACACGAAAGGTGGAAATTAAATACAACGATAAAGAGTACCGCTCTCGAGCGAATTTATTACACTTACTTGTAGACTGTGGATATTCATACAAACTTATATTGAAAAGAAATAGAACTTGTTCAAGAAGTTCATTAAATATATATTTTTTTCATTTTCATTATTTATAGTCGCATCAACCACTTGTGTGAATTATTACCGACTTGGAACTAAATCTTACAATTTATCATAAGGTCAGTATTTATTATTTATTAAAGGTCTTAGAAAGTGTATTAATTTTAGGTTGTCAGTCGGGAAAGTACCTACTTTTAGTTGATGTCTATTCGAGACGTATTTTCTGCACTGGACAATAATATGTTTCACTGTCGATTGAACTTTGCACAATTGAGAAGATTGTGAGTGGATTTATAATATTATTAGTAAGCGCATTAAATATTGTTAAGAGTGCACAATTGAGGAGATTGTGAGTGGATTAAATATTATTGGTGAGCGCATTAAATATTTCATGTATTTTTATATTCCACGATTTTCGAGCGTAGAAAAATCCGCAGTCTACTAAATTAGGTATACGACATATTTCTGTCTTCTAACCTAGAATGGCAAAGAATATCTTTCTCCCCGAATTTATTACATTTATTAGTAGACTGTTAATATTCATACAAATTTCTATTGGAAGAAAGAAATAGAACTTGGTCAAAAAGTTCACTAAATATTATTAATAGTGTATTTTTACATTCTACGTTTTTCTGACATACAAAATTCCGCAGTCTACTAATAGGTATACGACATATTTCTGTCTTCTAACCTAGAATGCAAAGAATCTCTTTCTCTCCGAATTTATTACATTTATTAGTAGACTGTTAATATTCATACAAATTTCTATTGAAAAAAAAAAAATAGAACTTGATCAGAGAGTTCACTAAATATTATTAATAGTGTATTTTTACGTTCCACGTTTTTCAGACGTATAAAATTCCACAGTCTACTTATCAGGTATACGACGTGCTCCCGTTGGCTCTCTAACTTCACGGGGGAAGCGAAAGATAAATGTTTGGCGTTGCAACGGAAAGAGAAATACTCACCGCATTTCCCTTGAAATGCCACGGTGATATTAGCACCCTTCGCACAGGCTGCCCTGTTCAGCTCGCAGAGAGACGGATAGTCGGTCCCATCTGTGCCGCAGACAGGGCTCGATCCCTCGTGATCCCCTAAATTCGGACAGGATTCCAGGCACTCGCAGGTGGCTTCCTTGCCGTCTCTGCTTCGCACACATTGCGCGCCCTGGGTGCAATTCTGCTTCGCGCACGGGTCCGGGATTTCTGCAACACAAAAATTTCGTCGCGTCGTTTAAACTAACGATCGTTCCGAATCGTAAGTCGATCGAAGAGAAACCGTCGGACTCTCGGACTTATCAAATCGGCTTATCAAATTTATCGTTTATTACGATATTCCGCGGCAAAGGAAAATTTCAAATTTTCGAGAGCCTCGACACTTCAGTTTTTCTTTCGTTGCTCTCGCTCGAAGATGAAAACGTTTCGCGTTCATTTCGTGCGAGATTCTAGAAACAGGTGTTCTAAGATCCGTAAATAATACGACGTTTCTTCGAAAGTACTTACGTCCGTTCGAAAGTGTCGCAAGTGGAATTCGAATCGTGGGAGTTGGAATTCTCTCTTCCAAGGGATAGGAAAGGTTTAATCAATAATTTTTTCATCGGCGACGTAGTGGTGCCGGTATCAAACGTAATTACAAACCGTAAACACGGGCGCGCGTCGTAAAGCGGCGTGAAATTAAATCCGCGCGATTCACGATGAATAAAGTATCGTCTACCGGGAGGTGGAGGGATTTGGCTGCGGCGCGATAAAACACAGCGTACGAACCGTGACCGTGCGCGCGTCGGCCCTCGGCTTCTCCTTTCTTCCCGGGATTTGAACAGATAAAAGCCGTCCGCGAATATTCAGCCGCGGCTAAGCCGGTGAAAATTTTTAATGGAACCATCCACGGAACGGAGAGCCGTAAACCCAATTAAAACATTCTTTTCGCTCTCTGTGCCAATGATATCGCGACCCTCTTTCTGAATATACGACACGAGACACGGAGTACGGAAACAGAGAAGAAGATAGGAGTCTAGCTTGTTTTCGCTGGAGCGTACGCGAAAGTGATACACTCCGTGACGTGGATGTGAAAGATAGCTATGTTTCAAAAGGGCGGTACGTTTGGTTCCTAGAAATAGATTTTCGTATTATAAAAAAAAAGAAAAAACAAAATTACAAATGCAAAATAGATGAAAAAATACGAGTGTTATATGGGATCGCGCTAGTGATACGTGCAATTACAACATTCGTTCGAAACATTTTTTCCATTTACTTTGCATCTTTCGAGATACTTTGCTGGAAGATTGAAACACGACGCCTTGTACATTATTACATTATTACATCTACGAATAATATGTTCTTACATTTAATGAATCTGATCTGTTCGATATCGGAATCGTTCGCTCTACTTTTTGTATGAAATTGGTATTGGTTGCACGATCGCAGAAAGAAGATCCGCGAGAGAAACTATCCCGATGAAAATGGATAACGCAGAAGTAAGACAAACGAAGAGGAATAAATTTAGAAAGAGAAGGATGTTTCTTCATCCGTCTTCCCTTGTTTGTCATGTAACAAGGGAATGCTCTCGCTCGAATTTGCAAAATCTCCCCTTCAATTATTTTACAATCTGTTTTGTCCCGTCCCTGGTCGCGAATGAGGAATCGACTCGCGAAATTACTCTTGAATATTCCATTTCGCGGGATACTCTCAAGTTTGTGAGCGTCCGCGTTCGTCATTCTTCCCGATCTTCGTTACAGAGCACCAGACGCGAATCCGGGCACGAATCCGGTCTCTTTGACCGGAGAGGAGAGCGTGAAGAGGCCGCAAGGCGTCGTCGTTCCGCTCGTTATTTGCGTTGAAGTACCTTTTGGAAAAACGTAGCAGCACTGCGATATCGTCAACACGCCGCACAGTATCAACACAGTTTTCCCTAGCATTGTTCGTCACCTCTTCCGGTGCCTCCTCTGCAAATCAAACCGACCACCATTCATCTCTTGTCGCTGTTACATTGCCATGCGTTTCGTTAGACATCATTCTCCTCGTTTCTTTCTTTTCTTTTTTCTTTCTTTTTTTTTTTTTTTTTGGAAAACGAGGGACAGTGGACGAGTTTGCGAGGATCCTCGACTTTCTTCGACATTCTTGAAAATTCTTCGCAAGGTCTGCAGAACCATTAACACGATTCGCGAGTCCAGTGTCCCTCTTTCAGCATTTTCGGCAGAATATCTTTGCAAAAGAAAATTCAAATTTTGAAACGATTCGTGCAGAAGAAGCATAAAACTAGACTGCCAACAATTGTCTGATCGACAATTGTTGCATTCCTCGTGTCGCCATATTGAGCGCAATCTCCCTCAACCAGCCATTTTCTCGTCGTGTATACCTTATTTAAAAAAAATATTAGGATACTAATATATCGTCGAATGAATCGCAGTAATCAAAATCACTCACTTGAAAATTATGAGAAGTATCAGAAAGAAAAGAATTGAAATTCTGTCGTTGATATTTAGAATGATCAGAAAGAAATCATTCAAAATCAGAAGAAATTGTTAGAAATGTCGAGTTAGAAAAAGAAAGAAAGCAAAGCAAGACGTCTATAAATGGCAGCCGTAGTCTGTCGCCAGATCAGAACAGACCAGAACAGATTACAACTAATCAGAACTGTATAGCACTGTACAGCAGATTAGTATAGAACAGAATAGAAGTATAGAAGTATAGAAGAGTCATTCAAGAGTAAAAGTAAAAAAAGGAAAATTAGATTATCACGTGTGCTGTTCGTTCTATAGTTACAAGTTATATTAAGCCATTATTCGTTTTATTTTCTTTCTGTACTGTACCACGTGTTTCTATGTGAAGTGTATATATATATATATATATATATATATATATATATATCAGTGCAAGTTATCAACCAGTGTCGTCTTAAACACTGACTCCAAAAAAGATATCAATTAAAAGTAAAAAAAAAAAAAAAACTCGAAATGATCGTTAAAAGAAATCATTTTGACATCGTACACGCTCGAAACCGAGTGAAACACACAGATTGGATGACGAGTCGTTGACACTAGGTCCAGCGACGGCCGCGGCAGTAGTGGCGTTGAACGCTGGCGCCGCCGTGGAAAGCTAGTAGTTCAGCCGGATGATGGATCGCAGCCTCGTTTGCATTCAATAACTCCCGTCCCGGTGTATTTTCGATTTACCATTCACCGCAACCCGATTATCGTCGTTAACGCATTTAATTCGCCGGCCACTCATCGCCGCGCCGATAACGATCGATGCATTATTAATTATCGGTATGACAAAAGCAATTAGCGATCGGTTATCCGACGCCGGTGAGGACGGTGCCGTTTCGATTTTGTCCCTTTCCGTCCGTGCAATCTTCCTAATGGAACGCATTTTCCTAATGTAACACGGGCCAGAACCTAATAAAATCGGGATGACGAGAGCCTGACCTTTCGGACGTTCTAATCAGTTTCAAAGTCTTCCGAGTGAATCTTACACCATCTAGGAAATTTTCGGCTGGCGGTTAGATTCGCTTAGGTTACTTCACTTTTACTTCTTGTTCCTCTTTCCCTTTTCTATTACTAACATAACGTGATCGATCGAGAAGATATTTCATTTTTTAGTTCTGTGATACAAATATTACAGCTTCTATTTAAGTTTGTTTACTTGAATTTTGTAACTCCCGTGTATACGTGCGTTCAGTATCTTGTATAAGAATTATTGCTTCTATTTAAGTTTGTTTACTTGAATTTTGTAGCTCCCGTGTATACGTACGTTCAGTATCTCGTTTGAATTTAACCTTGCGATTTGCTTATCGGTTAAATACCTTGGCCTGACCGTCTCTGCGAATGTTTCATACGAGCAAACTAATGAAAACACTTGCTGCAGGGTACTATTTGTACGGGGAACATCTTTAAATAAGCATGGAAGAAGTTCCTGCTCTGTTCACTTCTCGACGGCCGGCAACAAATTTTGATAGGATCAATTTGAAAGTTAAATTAACTTGAAGTTAAAAATTTCCACGAAGCGTTTATTACTTCTGCGTCTGAGCTGCGAGCCAACTTTTCATACTATTTTGAAACTTAATTATTCAGCCGATGGAATGAATCGTACACAGTGTCGAATAATTTATCGTTCTCCGCAAATATATACAACAGCTGGACAATAAAGATAATGTGTGACTCCTTTTCGAAAAAAAAATGTCGGACGAGTTTGTTCCTTCGAAACTACGAATGTACAGAAACAAATACTCGAATGAAAAGGTCTGCAGGTTTTTTTTTTTTTACTGTTGACACACAAAAAACGTTCGATCAATATTTAAATTTCCATCCTTTTTTTTTTTAAACCATGCGGATTCGACGTTTAATTCGCAGTATTCGTTCATTTAACAGGTGAAAGATCAACATCCTGTGTGGAAATAACATTGGATATTAGTCATTTGTATATGAAATAAAGTTAAACAGTTTAATCGAGCTTTGCCAATCAATTTTGTACGAACGATGATTGTATGGAAAATTGAGCGTATGGAACTTGAAAAACTGTAATTATAGCGAAGCGCGATGTGCATTAATTTTGTACAAGTTCTAGAAAACTTAGATATTCCGAGACTTTAAAAATTTGAACTTGGATTTACAGAATATACAAATTTAGGAAATCTGAATATTTAAAATACTTGGAATCTAGAAAACTCGCAAATCGAATTTTGTTATTTTTACTTCTTGGAATCTATTTTATATTTATTCTTCTGAATTATGTAATATCTACAGTACCTCACGTCAATCACTTCAATATCTAAGTATTTAAACTGTCACAATTTCGTAAAACAATACAGCAATAAATCTGGGTTCATTTCAAAGTTTAGAAATACACCGTTCATTCCTATTTTAAGATACTTTGACACCACCTAGCAGACGGGAAAATGGAGACATTTGTTTTCTCAAAAGAAACGTGAAAAACAAAAAAAAAAAATTTTTTTCACAATTGAATCTACAATGGATTTCAAAATTGTGAATGTTTAAAGCTTTGCCTTCGCAATGATTACCTACAGTTTGATGACACAATCTTTACGTTTTTTACCATTTTATCCACATTATAGTGATTTCAAACCCTCAAATTCTAGGTTTATTGTAGGATTTCGTTTTACGAAACAGTTTTAAATATTTAGTATCGGAATACATGAACTGTACTTCTAACGTATTATTAATCAATTACCAAACCTCTCGATGGATAAT